GCAGTCACTCCATGCGCATTTTTTTCGAGCAAACGATGGAGAATTTCCGAGCACGCCTTTGAACGGATCGATTCGAGCAAAATTAGACACAAGAACATGTGTTAGTCATTGGTGAATTTACGAGCAAACAAAATCATATGATTTCTAATTCGCCAATGCTGACAGTCCATCTAATGATACTACTACCGTATAGTGCATATGTATTGCGACAGGTGATATTTCACAACCGGCCGACACTCGTAAAATTTTGTTAATCCATTGCGTCATACAAATTTGAAGTATATTCAACATATTCACAAGAAAATATCAGTTATTACAAGAAAATTATCAGTTATTACAGGAGTCGCAATAGATTAATCTGTCGCAATACATATACACTATACAATGTGCACTACGTAGTGCCCGGAGTACTACTCTGGAAGAAAATGTAAGGAAGTCTCTATATAATGATGCATAGTTTTTTCAGAGATTGACCAAACTGTATGGATTCGATACGAATAGACCAATCAACGCAAGGCGAATCCAATGCGACAATCTATTCGTGAAAAAAGGAGTGTCAAGTGGTGCTTTTCCCTCGCCTGTGTTCACGCCTTTTGTCCTCCCCCATGTCTCCCAAACTCTATCGCCTAGTCTATCAACTCAGACAGGCCGAGACAGTGGCCGCTTTATACCTGCATGTTCTGCAAATTCTTCATGTCGCAACCCTACCCTATTGATTGCTCACCCAATCACGGCTAGCACAAGGAAAAGAGCGCTGATTCTCACAAGTCAGTGTTTCCCTTTGGCTGAGTTTTAGCCAATAGGAACGAAGCTAGATAGTTTGTAAACGACTGAATGTCACTTTTCGCTTTCCTCTGTCCCGCACACTTGGTTTGTCTTGGACACTCTGCGCAAAGTTGCTGCACGCCTATCACCCTCGCATACCTCCTGTTTCCTACTTCGTGACAAGGAGGAGTTCCGATATTCAGCAGGATAATCTGAGAACCAGCCGTGTTACTAATTACTCTAAGTGGGACAATCTCTTAGTCTCTGTGCGGAATTACATGCTCATGACACTGTGCGGGAAAAACTATCTTAGTATATAATTCACTAATCTAAACCAGGTGATCGATGCAACGATTCAAAGTGGTTACTTTGCAGGTAAAGGCAGCAAGCACTTGGACCACTAGCTTTGAATTCAACCTCCCATTGGTCAGTCGGAAGCAAAATCCGCCGGAGGTCATGTCCATCAAATGTGTACTTGTCAAAGCTCGCGCCATGATCTCATTCCGCGAAAACAGAGATATCTCGATCCAAGGCACGGATGAGGCCCATTATGTCTGGTGAACACCCCTACAGAGCTTCTGGCAGGAACTCATATGGGTGAATGGCAGCCAGTGCAAATAACAAACTTCTTACCACTTCCCGCATTTCACCGGGAAGCTCACTGAGGTGCTTAAGCACAAACGAATTGTTGTGGTACCAAGATGCATCAGACACGCGACGACACACGCTGGATGCTAAACGGTTGCAGACTGCGCGTATGACTTTTCGTCCCCCGTGAAACTGAAGTACAACCGCAACACAACAGGATGGGTTCAGTACAAGATCAACGAGTTAGGATTTGTAACGTTTGGGACAAAGTCATCGAACGCATCGAAAGAAAACAACTCGTGGCTTGGGATGTTGTTGCGTTCATCTGGTCCTGTTTCAGCGTACTATCAGTACAGGTACAAGTTGCTACTAAAGTTCAACAAGCAACGAGTCAAGATAGTGTCGAAGCGACCTAACTTCCTTGTGGACGCAGTTCTTCAGCAAGTTGAACGAATTATCAACTATTCAAAGGAATACTACGTAAGAATTGTTCTATCTATATTACAGTAACAATAGTATTATGAGCCTCAAGAGAAGTGTGGTGACCCAGGCGACGTTCAAAACATTGGCTAGTACAAGGTTCGTCATGCGTCGGTGTCACACGTTTCGAGTCGAAAAGTGCACGACGTTGACATTCCTGCTCGCTCATGCTCGTGCGGAAGATGACAAGACGACTTATTACCTTGCTACAACGCGTTTGCTGCCACTAAGCAACTTCGTACGTAGTTTCATTATGAAATGCATTTTATGGATCTTGTAGCTTTTCCCTTGTCTTACTTGAATGGGCCACAACAAGAACTATATCGCCGACACATCGATCCGTCGTCAACAACTGACTTGAATATTCAGTCCGAGATTCAACCTCCAAGAGTTTTCACTGCATCAGAAAAGCAGTACGCATTTGTAGTTACTACATAGTACTATAGTATACAAGTTGTTCAACCTCACAATCGCTTAGGAAACCTGCAAGATGAAGCGTTTCAAGTCGCATGGTTTGTATTGACATAAGTACCACTGTCCGCCCGCACAAGACCCTGAGCGTACTACACCTTTTCCCGATCAAACTGGCAGTTTTTTCCAATCAAAGTGGCCATATAAAATATAGAATGTTTGAAACAAATACAATTAATACAAAAAACATACAATATTCCATTCAAAGTGGTTTTTGGTCCATTCAATGTGGCACAAATCACTTCCCATACTGCATGTTTTCCAAGTTCAGTGCCTTCTCGATATTGCGCTGGCAAAACATCGCTTCGCGGATCACCAAGTATTGAGTAATGCGCGGGAGGCATTCAGTGGCAGCTTCTTCAAGCAATCGCATACGACTTTCCAAGTAAGAATTAAAGTCCCTACGATCAAAAAGCAAATTGGTGCGTTCCTCGAGATAGCCCTTAATCTTCGCCTTCAAAACGCTAAAGCAACTTTCGATAGGATTTAGCATTGGATAATATGGCCCTAAGCGAAGCAGAACCATGTCGTCGTGCGAAGCAACCCGTTGCTCCGTCTGCGAATGGGCCAGGGCGTTGTCCAGCACAATCACGACCTTCTTGCCGACAAAACTGGCCGTGTAGGCCTCCGACGCTTTCGCCGCTCGGTAAACTTCTTCCACAAATTGTGCGTTCTTGTCCATTTTGATGCTACCCCGCTCCAAACGATGGCAAACGAGGCCGACTTCGGCAGATACGGCACACTGAACTTGCAGGTTCGGGCCTTTCGATGGCGGCAGCACAATGGTCGCCCGAGTCCCTTGTTTCGAGCGTCCAACCGACCGATGACAGTAAATGTTGAAGTTCGTCTCGTCGTAGTATCACAATGAAGTCCCCATTTCGCTGATATTCGACAAGTGCTGCTGCAAACTCCTTGCGCTTGGCCTTGTTTTCGTCGCTGTTGTATGTCGACGGCTCAACGCGCACTTGTTTGACAGTATACAGCATCCCGAGTAGATGTCCGCTGATCGTCTTCTTGGTCAGTTGGGTGCCAGGAAAGTCCAACGCAATCAACTCTTGCATGGCTGTAAAGGTGAACTGGCAGTTGGTGCCCAGGTAGCGCTCGAGTGCAGCGAGTATGTCAGGGGTGACTTTGGTCCGGCTTTGTCTCGCGCCGCCTCTTGGCTTATTGGCGATCTGGCCGGTCTTGACGATACGTCGGGCCGTCGACAGCGCGATGCCATTGTGCTTGGCAACAATCTGCCAATTCGCACCGTCGGAGTATGCTGCGAGGACTCGTTTCTTCTCTTCTGTGGTCGGTGCCGAGCGTTTGCCGTCTGCACTCATGCGTTGCGGGTAAGTTGGAAAATGGCCGTCTGTGTGTATGTGTGTCATATCAAAGGCGGGAATTTCTCGCGCCTGAAATGACCACTTTGATTGGAACAAAAGCCACATTGAATGGAATAAGTCCACGTGGCATGACTTGCCAAATTTTATTTTATATTTGAACCACTTTGATTGGAACAAACTGCCAGTTTGATCGGGAAAAGGTGTAGAATTTGTGAGGATGCAATCCTCTATATAACGGAAAAAACATGGAACGTTTTATATCACCTCTATCTTCCGGCCAGTTCTCAGATTATCCTGCTGAATATCGGAACTCGTCTGAAAAAAGTCAGCAGGAAGAGTGCTACCTAGAGTTCAGCCCACATACTTCATTCCATATTAAAATATCTTATTCCAGTAGTAGTACTACTAGTACTGTAGTAACATTAAAATGTAGTTGGCAAAGAGTCGAGTTAATGCAATTTGGATACACCGGAAAGCATAAGCGAGTGTTGTGCGCTTGGAAAAGTATGAGTGAAACTATTAGTACAATGTACTACTAGTAGAAGGTGTGTTTCGTAGTTTGTTTCGTAAATACCAGATAAAGGGAAGTAACGTTACTCTTTATCTTGGATACTCTAAATAGTTATCAGTAAGCATAAAGGGAAGTAACGTTACTTTATCTTGGACACCTTGCGCAAAGTTGCTACACGCATATCACCTACGCCTACCTCCTGTTTCCTACTTCGTGACACCTTTATCTCGTTGGGTAATTACAAATGCGACATTTCTCCGTTCGGTAAGTACATGATTGTATTACAGTCGGCGACGGAATTTAAGGGGCACCGAAGTATTCGCATTACACACAAATATTCCGCCAATGAGATCTCAAATCACAAATATCGCTACACAATTGGTGGAAAATTTGTTAAGGCGGGAAAACATTTTATATTCGCGGGGGATGACAGAGATGAATGTGCTCGGTGTCATTTTCAAATGGTGACTGTATCAAGCAAGAAGATTAGCCCCCAACAAATGCCAAGAAGGCGATATAGTCACGCTAAAAAACGTGAAATGATCGTAAAGATGCAAGAAGCATCCACACGGGACGTAGAAGCCGACACAGGCATCCCAAAGAGCAACCTTGCGCGATGGAAAAAGCAAAGCAGTGACATTCTCCACTTCGAGGGTACAATGAAACGCTTCCACCTCCATGGCGCCGGCCGTCCGGTCATGATCCCAAACGCTGACGAAGCATTCATGCACAAGCGTGCACGCACCTGGTAAATTACCTCAAGCGCAACCACAAGCCTTGGCTGGAGCAATACCTATCAGACCGCCGGAGCGGTTACAAGTCCCTGCTGAAGCTTCTCCAGCAGTTCTGTGCGCGCCATGGATTCACACGCCAGAAGCCTGCCAGGTCCAAGCAGACACAAGAACAGCTGGAGAAGGTTCGGCAGGAATTTGCTCAAGACTTCAACGTCGCGTTCAGTGGCTTCTCCCCAAGCGTCATCATCAACGTGGATGAGACGGGCATGAGTTACGACATGCCACCTCACGCTATTTGGTCCGTCAAAGGTGGCTCCTCAAAGATTTCAAGTGGCGAGAAGCATTC